GTTTTAAGTTTAAAAAAAAGCTGTTTACTTCATGGCTTTACGCGACAAGCGGTAACAACACCTTTCATCATGATATTTTACAAGTAGAAAGCCAACCCCCTATTTATTATTTTTGTCCGAGGCTATTTTGTTTTAAATGACAGTTACATTGTTTTTTTGGGCCCAAAACGACAGAAACAGCTATTTTTTGTCATTTTTTGTTAAAAAATTGCCACAGTTAAAAAATTTCGACTTATATGCAAAATAGCTTCGGACAATTGTGATAAAAAAGTGATAATACGTAAACATGGATTACTCTAAAGATGAATTATGTTGTTTTCAGCTGCGCGTAAAGCCGTTTAAGTTATACTCCGTGAATAAAATGCATAACAACGCGGGTTTACAGGGGAAACATACAAATGACCGCCGGTAACCCCGAATTCGAACACGCGTTCTATTCGAATGACGTCATATCGAACATGGTGGAACATGATTCGGGTTCGAAACATGTTTGTGGCAATCGTGCAGACAAACGTCCGAAGTCGAACATGAATATCAGCCTAGGCCGCCTTAACCCAACCGAGTTTGCCGGCAAACTGTAAACTGGATGGCTAAACTCCCTCGGCGTGTTGTGTCTCTATTTGGCCAATTTCTACTATTTCCAGCCGCGCCCTCAAGCCTGGTAGAAGTTACAGTATTACGTGAGTACTGGTTTGAAGGGTTACTAAGAAGAGACAAGAAATGGTTAAAAAAAAAAACTGGATTGGGGTCAAGATGGGGAGAGCTGGTTGGGTGGCGTGAGTGTGCTGACGATGTGTGACTCAATTAATTGGTAAACTTTGTGATTTGAATTGGACTGATATACATGTATAATGGGCCCTTTCTAACGGAGAAGCGTTGTAATTATTTATTAGCGGTTACTTGGGGTAAAGAGTCGCGTCACTTCTCGTTTTTAATTGGGGTATAACTAAATCAAAAAAAGTGAAAACTAGACAAGAGAGAAAGGAGTTTTTTTAACTATTTTCTTTTTTTTAACCTTTCGGCGTGACTGAGACATAGACAAAGGAAGGGGGATAGAAAAAGGATGTGCCGAGCTACCCACGGCAGGTTACTGTCCAAGTGCTCCCACCAACCCACTCCTGCCAACTTGACACATCAAAATGAAATAATGACATAAAAGACAGACATTTCACAACAAAAGACTGATTCATTCGACCAGTCTTTTCTTTGGTTTTCATACATATGGTGAATGTAACCCACCCCCAAACACACAGCGGTATACCGCGGTGCCTTGTACATGTGGTCCCGTCAAAAATTGTTACTAAATGTCTCCTTACTTCTTCCAGGTAAACAGCGATGGCACGGCCAAGAGCCAACCTCCTCTTGGTCACTTTCTCCGCTAGTTCCTCCTCACGGTTGAAGTCACAGTAGCGAACCTCGGAGATGTCCTGAGTTGTGTTTCCCACGGTCTTTGTCGTCTTCTGGACATAATATCTCCGTCCTGTTCCGTTTTCAACCTTCAGGGAACTACAGTAACATAACGTTGTGTTATAGACTCTGTCAGGTCTGTAACTGTAATACATTTTATACTTGATTGTATATTTTATGCCTTAAAGCCTATAAAGACAGACTAAGATCTGAACCCATCTGACACCTACCTACCTAATGAAAATCTCGAAAACCTTGATTTAACTATGTTTATTGATTTGTATGATTTGTTTATATGATTCATCATTCTTATTTTCAATTATTACTACTATCTTGTACCATTTCCTAAGTTACTTGGAATTTGACCTTTGGCCCTCCAAAGACCACTGACCGACTGTTGTGTTTAATTTATGTTAATTTAATTTATGTTAAATTATCTTTTCTGTATTCTTGTTTGCATTATATTCTTGTTTATTTATTATGGGCTCTCTTGGAAATCAGCCCCTCGGGGCTGAAGAGACTACCCATACATGTATGTTGTTAAGATAAATAAATAAATGATGTCGAACCTGAAATTATTTTGTTATTATTTATTCTTTAATTCAGGCCCCTGGCCCATATCACATCAAGAACAGATGGACAAAAGATGGAGGTGTGGTAACAAATACAATAACTAATACCACGATAGTCAATCCAGACCTAACAAGAATAAACTACTTAAAAACTAGGTTAATATAATGCCTCCAGAATGTGCTGAGGTTGTAACCGTCAGAGTGAGTTAGCGTAGCGATGATCGTGTATTGTCACTCTGAAGCAGTTATGCATGAAATGCTATTTCGAACAATCTATTTAGACAAACTGTGTAAAGGTAGAACAAAGAAAGACATTCAGTCACCTCATGTCTACCAGTAATGACCACATAATAGAAACACTTAAAATAATTCATCTCCAGTTGCTTTAAAAAGAGGTAAGAAACATTAAACAACTAGATTAGATCATGTAGAGCGCATCCTCTAGTAGTCTCCAAGACTTTTATGTTCTTCTTTATGCTCCTATCCTATGCATTATGTTACATGTATTATATACAAGTAATAGCATACTCTTATGTACTCTGCTTCTCCTATTGGGTCAGTTAGTCCTCACTACTTGTGAGAAATTGGGCTGGTCTCAATCATGATGTTTCTGACTCAGGGAGAAGAGCTGATGTTACAGTTCTACTCGGTAACCCGTAACCCAGGTGTTAGCACCATTCACCTTGAAGTGGCCTAACGGTCGTGTTACGTGGCGACCACTAAGCAAAAGTAAATAAACTAGAGAAGTAACACTTGCAAAGCAAATGCATAATGTTTACCTTCGGACATGGTCTGCCCTGTTAATTTTTACTCAAACACATTCACATACATGTACTACTAGTATATGGTGACAGGAGCAGAGCAGAGCAGACCATGAAATTGCAACATTATGTAATCCAACACCAGTCACCATGATGACAGACGTCAACAAAGCAATGTCATTGACCAGGTCAAAGGTTAGTATTTTGAACTGGAGGAGGGAGAAACTGAGTAAAAACAATATGTTTTCCTTCGGTAAACATAATGAATATATACCTCTTTCCCAAACAGCCGAAGTCCACGGCACCTTGTGGGAACAGCGAGTCGAAGTTGATGTCCAGGACTGACGTGATCGGCTTCATGATGAAGGAGAAGGCCTTTGGGTAGTCCTTGATTGACTCCAGCCATGTTTTGAGCTCCGTGGACAGTGAGGAGGTGTACATCTCTGTGATGGCTGCTGCGATCCGCTGATCACCGCCCTGAACCACCATCATCTCGTTACTGAACTCAAACGAATGCCTAGGAGGTAATAAAACACCGATGTCAAGAGTAATGTTAATACTTTCGATCTGACACAAGAAAATCCTTCTCTTAGTTTTTTTTTTATTGTAGGCCGGTAAAACATGTGTGTCTGTCCTGGAGAATTCTAACGGGTTACGGTAACATTTGCCAAAAATCCGCGATCGGTCAGGTGTTTCTGAGAAAAACATACATATCTAGTGTCGTTTGTTACTACATCTCTGTTGTTATCCAGAGATTTCAAACTTTTAGAAAGTAGATATATTTGCTTTTAATTAATATTAAGTCATAGAATGCATTTTTACTCATACGATTGTCTGGCGTAAATAACTCAGTTATTACAAGGTGGTATACACTTCATATATTCCAGGGACAACTAAATCAACTGGAACCCAATCTCCGCCCATTCACACATGGGAATGGATACGTACGAAGTCCCATAAACCAGAGGCACATAAAACAATACTTCCGTCTAGGAAATTAAACGTTTTTTTTAATTAGTTGCTAATTTTTACCTCCGGGGGAGGAGACATCCTTCCGCGGAAGGGTTTTGTGAGAGATTTAGATTTTCATGTTCGCAGATGTTTCTCGCCTTTGCTTGGAATGATTTTTTGGGACTCGGTGTATGTTTTGCTATTGGGCTGTAGATGATGCACGTTCTTTTGTTTTTATTGTATATGTGTTTTCAGGCGTGAAAATGGTGCCTTTTGGTGGCCCCAGAACACCCCTTTGAGCGTGAAAATGGTCGCGACCGTTGACCTTTGGCGTGTTTAAGCTATTTTCGGTCTGGTCCACGTATATGACCCCTTGCAAAGAGGGGTGTCCGGTCTCGATAAGTTTTTGTTCAAACCCCTAGTCCTGCGGCGCACAACAATTTTTAACACATCTAACACATAAAAGTCAACACCATCAACTATACATAAATTACATATAAAAATATACAATAAAAAGCCCGGAGGTATAAAATCTCAGATTTTACTTGTCTATTATGCGGTTTGTACTTACAAATTCTCGGCCTGGCTCTGTGTGGCTGTTCCCTCTGAACCAGCGCTGGCCTCTCCCTCGGCTTGCTGGGACTCCTTCCTGGTCTCGTGCTCATGCCACCAGCTGCTGGACTTAGTCTGACTCGCCTCTGCAGAGAAGGTGCTGAAGGCTTTCTTCCACTCCGTCTGGGCTCTCTCCGAGAACGCCTGGATGGACAGGTCTGAGCTGGCCTCCTTGGTCTTGATGATCTTCAGTTGTCCTCCGAACTTGGCCGACCTAATGTAGTGTGTTCCGTAGCGTAGGATGAAGTTTTCTAGAATAAGCGTAAAAACAACATTTTATAACAAAAAAATTCTGTTAAAGAATTACATCATAGAATGAATAGTTATTTATACTGCTGTATAACGTAACATACTCCGCTATGACAATGACGTTTTATCGAGGCATACTGCATCAAAACCCTGCCAATTGTGATCAGTAGTGATCACTCTTGTGTCGTGCTTCAGCCAGAAAAACCCTTGCAGCTGCAAAGCAAACACACAGTCAAATGCCTCCACAGAGTGGTGACCAACACAAGGAAAGTTGACTTCGCTCTAGCCTTGGCGAGGACTGAGTGGACGGCAGTGACCGATGCTCCGTCTGTCGAGAGGAAGGTTTCAACCTTTTACTCCATCATCTCAGCCCTCATTGAAAGGCACTTTCCTGTCAGGGTGAAAACTGTGCCAAAAAACAACAGACCCTGGATGACCGACAGAGTCAAACGAGCAATCGTCCAGCGGCAAACAGAATTCCAGAGACATGGTAAATCCCCCACGTGGAGACGCCTTAGGAACAAGGTGAAAACTGTCATACGACAAGCAAAGAACTGGCATTATCGCAACTGTCGCAGGAGCCTTTCTTACATGCGTTGAAATATCCTGGTGTTTGGGGCAGGCTCTCGTCGGAGCTGTAGTAGTTTTCCTCCCGCCCAGCTAAACTGGCCGCTGGGTGGGAGTTTCGTGCATGTAGGATTTTTGCATGACAAAGCTTCTACGGGTGACAAGTTGAGTCTGGCGGCGGGGAGCTCCTGCAGCCCCGAAGAGAGCCCGCCCAATCCACGATAGACGGGACACACATGAGGCTAACATGGGGAGCCACTTACGGAACTGCTGGTCAGCCCCGATGGAGAAGTAGGACACCGGCAGCTTGAGGAAGTCCCGCAGGAAGGCCAGGTTCAGGTCGGCCGGTTCTACATCGTCCATGAAGATCTCGTACCTGAAATAAGATTACGTTTAAAATTTCCAGGATACATGGACACTATACTGTGCACTGGCAATAAGTCAACTGATAAACAATGAAAAAAATATGTTATCTACTACAAAAATTAAGTATTAAAGAATAGGTGTGTGTTCAACGCTGTATATGTTAGTTTACTCAAGAGCATTCAGCTATACGCATGAGCGGACCAACCAGTATTACACGAACCTATGTCTTTCGGTAACTCTGATTGGCTTGTGCCAAATAAGGCAAGCTCATTAATATTAATGACCAACAGTTTCATTGGTACCCGGTCTGTTTGTTTAATTTGGAGTAAAAAAATCACATTTTTAACCGATCGTCCAAAATCTCTTGGATCCGTGGATAAAGGGATCATGGCACCGAATATATTCCCAAAATACCCCGGATGTTGTAGGTGAAATCCCTTTAACCTCATTGAAAATACTTTAAACCTACCTTTTTTTCTCGCAAAATAAACTAATTTTCTGAGCGCGATCATCAAATTTGCAGTCCGCCATACTGAAATTTTGTAATCGATGCACTGATTGGCTACTGCGATCTCTTAAGTATGCATAACCAAGAGCCTCAAGAACCGACTTCTGAGCTGGAATTAGCAGAGTCGATTAGGACGGCTTAGAATATAGAAGAACTTTTATTATTTAACACAACAAAAGTGCAGTGACTTTCGTAAGGTTTTTAACTACATGTAGACAAACAAATACTCGGGTACAACAACATTGACCTACGTACAAGAAAAATGGATAAATCATCTTATACTACATGTACATGTTCTAAGGTCTAAACATTCTTTGATGAGTATTTGCACACAGTAAGGTTTATTACCTTCTAGAATGAAATTAAATCTATCTACAGTATGCAACAAATTCCGTTGAGGAAGCAGAAAGAAGCTAGAACAGCTTTGTTCGTATATCATCATATAGGTAGCCTGGGTTCCAGACCCATAGCACACTGGACACAAAGTATCTCAGTGAGCCTGGGTCTGGTAGGGTCAGATAGACCTGCCACTCTAACGCTCAGTATCTGAGCGTAAGGCCACATTGGTGGCACAGCAGGAAGAAATTTTACACCTCTGCTATGATTGGTTAAAAACTCCCAGCTGTATCTTTGAATGTTCACCAGCAGACGAGATAAAACTGTAAATAAGGTGTATTTTGTCCTGGTGTGTTAGAGGACTGTTACCTAAACAAACAGGAAAGCCTGGGTTGTACACTACTTCTACTGTTGAATTAAGTTCTGCTGTTATTTTGGAAAATAATTTCCAAATACATCTAGAAAATTGACTGGTTAATGATTAACTGTTGAGCCCAAGATTGTCTCCTGCTGACCAATGGTGGTGCCATGTAACAGGCTACCTGTGGTGTGAGGGGTCACCAATCACATCTTCTCCTCCCCATGGCTGAGAGCCTTTCCAAAGTCGCACGGCCAGACCCAGGCTCACTGAGATATTTTGTGTCCAGTGTGCTATGGGTCTGGAACCCAGGCTATCATATAGGGGAAAATCTATAATAACAATCTGAAAGGTCGACCCAAGCGTAAGAAAATGACTTCAGACTGTTACCTGAAGACGTTGATTTCCAACAGCGCCATGTACGTCTGTGTATTCTTGTCGGTCAGCCGGCCCTCGGCCTGGGACCCCGCTCCGAAGTTGGACGACTGGTCAGACCGGGCACTCTGGTCAGAAAACCCGCCTCCCGCCGAGCCGCCGAGCCCGAAGATCCCGCCTCCTGCCCCGTACCCGGCTGCCTTGTTCAGCTCCTGTTGGAACATGGCCTTGGCAGAAGTGACGGCAGATTTCTGCTCCAGATACTCCCTGTACCCCTCCATAGAGGCAAAGGTGTTGGACTCTACATCAGTGTCATAAACACCTTGAACTGTCATCGTGTCAGGAACCTCGTGATCTTCATACCTGGAAAATAAGAAGGAGTCAAAAATGTTTAAAGCATGACTAGAGTGAACAAGTTCCTAAATCTGTATTTTTTCCTTTACATTCCCTATTAACCCAATAAAAATTGCCTCTGTCACTAAAAGCGAATCTCCACCCAATCACTTCGGGACGGGGACACAAACAGCCATAAACAAACTTCACCCAAGACAATACTTTTGTTTTTTTGAAGTGTAAGTTCAGCTTATAATAGTAGATGAACCCCATAACCAACCCACGTAGAAAAATGTTGAAATACAAAATGAAATTATCATAAGAATGCAAATATCTGACGAAAGAGGTAGAATTGCACGATCTGACGAACAAGCAGTCATTCTGTCATTGGTTCAATGGTTTATTGTGATAGACAGATTGGTGGGTTGTAAATTGTTTGCCCAAATAGAATGGAGTTTTTAAAAAAAGGGAAGATTTTCCTCACGTTTGCAGGCCGTTGCAGGACCGTTGTACGATGCTTCTCTTCCTGGAATCTGCGGAGTATTCTCCTCTACCGTCGAACCCCACACCCAGGAACGTCGCGCCGTCTATCAGGTTCTACAAACAAACACATTTTGAAATGCAACTGTTCTATTGAATGACGATAAACCTTATCATTATTTGGTATGTTTCCTGTCCCGTATACGTAGCAACAGTTGCCAGAGAGTGGGAGCTGATTTTCACAGTTGATTATGAAAACAGATAGGTCTTGAAAACAGATGGGTATTTGCAAGAATATACAGGAAGTGGTGTAATAAAGGGTTAATGCCCCGACCCGAGGTGTATATCGTGAGATAATCCCTGGTCGGGTGCGATAACCACCTCGTTTCACTCGGTGGTTTATCTCACCATATACCCCGAGGATAAGGCCGGGCAGTAATTAACGTTATTATCATTTAGCCTATTTGACCCAAATTTCTTTATAAAATTCCTTCTTTGATCATGGTTCACATAATTTATATTCCTAATAAATCCATGCACGTATTTTGCGCGCACATAATATGGTACATAAATGATACATATTCTATAGACTTAAGTTTTGCAGATGGTGGAGGGGATTATATGATGTAGTCTTATCTGGTATGACAACACTTTTTACATTCTTGCACATGACAACTAAGGCCGTGTCTATGTAGAATCACCCAAACCGCGATTCGGGTAACTCACATTCCTCACATCTGGTCCACGTGCCACACACACCTGTGAAACCGTGTCCGAACACAATACGCATGAGCTACATTTATTGCTGTTTGATGATAACACGCAATGTGGCGTGTTATTAATGTTAGAGGTCAACGACCTGGTTGCTGATGCCCCCCTCCCAGCGTATCTCGGCGAATGCCGACGTGGTCCCGCCAGAGGCGGTGAAGCTCGCCCTAGAACGGACACATTATTTGACCATTACTGCTCTTTAAGTTACTGCCACGTAAAAGTTGGTATTGCATATAAAAAAAGAAATATCACCCCGTAATCCATGACCAGGCGAAGTTACATTGAAATCACATTGCGTTCAGACACAAATCGCGATGCGGGGAAACCGATTCGAAACCACCTCTAGAAGTGGCTTGGGATCGAGGCGCTTTCAATGTGATTTCGGAGCGTTCACATGGAGCCACTTGAAACCGGCTTCAGGGTAAACCACATGTAAACCGCCTTGGGTGATTCCACATAGACATGGCCTAACATTCTCACACCTGGCACGTGCTGTTAAAACGACGTGCACGGCAAACTCTTTGGCCGTTGCCACGAGACAAGATACATAGTACTTCCCAGTAAACCACCCAAAACAATACTTCTGTACACAACGCTATAAATTAGCCATCGATTTTATAGTATATTAGTATCTAAAAAGCCAGACATACAGGACAACTCTCCCTCGGGATCTTGGCCTCCCAACACGGGTCTCCATTGACGTAACCGGTCCCGAAACAACCGTTCATAAGAACGGGGCCCAGTCCGACCGGGTAGCTGTAGGCTGAAACTGCGGCTGTGGAACTGTCTTGCTCGTCATCCCTAAAATGTAAGCCGGGAATCAAACATTCTTAAACAACAGGACAGAGATTTCACGGAGCGATTGATGGAACTGTTGTTCAACGCAAAAAAAAAAGAATTAAATTAGAACTTTTGACGGAATGTCTTAAACTATCCTTTTAAACTATCTGGCTTGATCGCTCTGGGCACGTGGGGAAGTCTATATGGCCCCCCCCTCTCCACACACACCGTATTAATTCGTCAGGTTTAGAGAAGGCTGCTGGGAATGGACGGGGGCACAATATCGACTTCCAACAACCTTTGACCTATGCTTAACGTGTCATGTGTCCTGCGAAATCTGATGAAATTGCAGAAGAGGGCTGAGTAATGAGCAATTCAGTAAAAATTCCATCGAGGTTTTCTTTAGTTGAAAAACAGGTTGTTTCATAATGTACTGTTTCAATGAAGATGATTTTTCACACTGGGACAAATATCAGTGAGTGTGCTTTTAAATTGTTGAATTAAATTAAATTACACAACACATTTTAAACAGTTACAAAGTGCTACAAACCACACACACAAGTGAGCTCTCTAAACGCACCTAAAGTCATCTTAGAACGTAAAGCTCAGTTATACCGCACTTACGTTTCATCCGCATAGTGATATTTGTGGCTGATTTCATAGCCAGCGGGCACAAACGTGTTCCCCAGGTTGTCACCCCTGCTGATAGGGAGAACCCGGACATCAGCCTGAAAACAACACCAACGGTATTGTAAAAAAATACCAGATAAAACCTAGATGACAGTGAAAATTTATTGTTTATCCTCGCAGAAGGAAAACATGAATGAATGACTGGTTTATACATCGAAGCAGGTAAAGTGGCTAAATTGCATACTTTTAACATGTACATCAATAGATAAGGCTATTTACAAATTGACATTTCGTACAAATATTAATATTTACATCGTAATAATGTTCTAAATGAGGAGAAGTTACTATTAGTAGTTTAGTAGTTTTATCATGTATGGAATAGGACTGTTCTTGTATCTGTTTGTTCGTGCTCTGAATGTAGACAGAAGATGACATCTCGTTTTTTCCAGATTTCTTCTTTTTTCTCTAAACGCATAAGGTCAATGACCTGGACAAGACGGCTTCCGCCATGGTGACTGGTGCTGTAGCAGACATCTTGTAGTGTTGAATTACATTATGTAGCAAGTTGGGGCTGGTGCTTTGAAAAAAAAAACCTGCTTCATAATATTTCTACCAACACAACTGGACTTTCAAGATAAATATATGTATTTACTAGCCTCCTTCGCAGTCTTGTTGGGCGTGGGCGTAATTTTTTCTCTGAGCGACGCTAGTAATATGCCGCCGCGAGGGACGATTTGCTGCCGAGGGACTTTTGCCACGGAGAGAAGGTTTCCGCGCTCCAACAAGACTGCTTCCAATCGGCGAGTTAAAAGGGCTATCAAAAAACACTTAGGAGCGCTTGGCATGGATGTGTGAACTTCCCGCAATAAACGCCACCAGTGCAGGGTGGTGTTCACGCCCCGTTGATCGACGAGCCAAAACTTGTAACTTTCCAGCGGTCGCCGACCAACCCGTCGGTAGAACGCCAACCATTCCCGAAAACCGAGCCCTATTCACTTAACAAAATCCCGGAGACATACGAAAAACAACTTTGAACAAATCACTACCACAGGAACCCGCAAGCTAAACTGTGATATTGCTGGGGGACGTCGACAGATAAACAAAGTGCCGCCATGTTGTTTGGTGGCGGGTTGATCTCACTGACCATGGGAGGGTAACACACCGCTCCGCAGCAAGTTGCGTAATAGAAAGAAAGAATTGCACATTTCACCAGCAAAAATAGTACTGTAAATTGTCTTGGTTTGTTTGCATGGGACGCTTAAATATGCACAGCAATGCCTTTGTTGTAACATTACCAATGTTCTCTGTTGGAATCTTCGACTATAACGTAACGCAAGCTAATAAACCAACCGTTGACAAAGGCGAGCGCGTGTCATGCGTATCTATGAATTACCCTTGCGCGGACATGTGAATTGGACCTGCGCGAACATGTGAATTGGACCTGCACGAACATGTTAATAGCCTCTATGAAAGGCTGGCTTAATCCGAGGTCCTTTTAACTCGCCGATTGGAAGCAGTCTTGTTGGAGCGCGGAAACCGTCTCTCCGTGGCAAAAGTCCCTCGGCAGCAAATCGTCCCTCGCGGCGGCATATTACTAGCGTCGCTCAGAGAAAAAATTACGCCCACGCCCAACAAGACTGCGAAGGAGGCTATGTATTTACCTCTTCAACTGGTTGATTCAAGCCTGCAGCTAAGTTATTGGTTTGCCCCAGAACGTCCTTGTACTGCTCGTCGAAACTGTCCAGCTGCTTCCCGAAGTAGTCCTGGAGGGAGTTGACCACTTTCTCTTTGTGGTCCTCAACCACGCCTTCTGCTATCCTGTCGCCAAGCTGGTTCACTACCTTCTCGCCGACCTGGCTCGCTGCCGAGGCCAGGAAAGCTGGGGCCGCCCTTTTTACAATGACTTTGTTGATGTCGATCCCTTGAGCGTCCATGGGGACAGCGGTGTCAGCTGGTGTTTTCGCTTCACGTTTGGCGGCTGAAATATGGATGAAGATTTGATAAAGTTATAATCGTTAACTATAATCTAGACTGGGCTTTTTTTTGGATCTTTGGGACTGGGGAGGGGGGATCATTCGCCCCCCCCCCTCAGAACTCGTGAACGGTATATTGTATGGCCATGGTATTTTCAGAGTACGGTGTACTAGTACTACTTAATCGTATCAACAATTTCATATCATTATGACATAATATGACGTCATTCATGTGACGTATTGCCTAAAACCGTTTTTCTCATGAAATGTATTGGTATACACCACAAGTTTGACAACAAGTCTTTATGATAGACCAGTAAGGTCAACTTAATCATATGTTGCCCAAAGCAACACCAGTGACGTCATAAAATGACGTCATCCATATGTAAACTATCCGCCATCTTGGATCGTCAAAATTGAATTTTCAAAAATATATTTTTTTTAAGATAAAGCCTAAAAATACAATGCAAATAGTATCTAAATCTAAGGGCCTCCTCTCGTAGCCTATCTTGGGACTATTTTTAATGCTCCCTCAGGAAATGAATATCAGGCACATTTTCAAAAAAAGTTTTTTTTGTTTGTTTTACCGCCCAGAAATTTCAACTTACTGTATCATTTTATATGATATTTGTAATACATTTTACTTAAGTTTAACGTGGTTCTACAAATTGAGGTGCACAAATTAATATCTGTTTTCGTTTGCAAAAAGTCCGTCTATGACAGCAATTGAATGTGTGACAAAGTTCTTTATTCACAACTAAGACTTTTCCTTCGCACTGCCGGTAGGTGTCGCTGCTGCAGTGTTAACGTTGCGGTCTACTCTAGTCATGGGGGTACATCTAATAAAGTTGTACTTACCTCTTACATCCCTGAGAGCGTTGTTGAGCTCGGCGTCGTTGTCAGTAAGTATGCTGTCGACTAACCTGTCCAACAGACTGCGGCTGTGTTCGGATCTGCCTACTTGCGGCACTACGACAGCTGAGTTACAGAGAAGACATGTTGGATTAAGAAGGGATAACCGTATTTAACTTAGCTATACAGGCTTCTCACATACGCCATGTTGGATAACAGTCTGTTAAACAAGCCAGCATCATGTTGCTGTAATCAAGTTACCCGCCAACACCTGGTCCCCAGGCTTCATATGATAATTATCATGACGTCAATGAAAAGCCTCCATACACAACGGTCTAAACAGTACAACTCCTGCGACCTTTGCTTGGCGCTCTCTCCGCGCACCGACCAATTTCAGGTCTCAAGCGCAGTGAGAACGCTGTCAAAGTACTAGTAAATGGGGGCCTTATTTTTACACCCTTGATTTGAATATGATAAAGGCTGTACAGGATTGAATGCGAAACAACAAAACAAACAAAACGTCAAAGATTTCGTTCTATGTTTCCGTTAAGTGAGCTATGAATTTGTTGACTGCCCAAAAACGTTGCTGACATTTGGGTTTTTGTTCGTGCAGAGAGCGCAGAAAGGTCACCGGAGAGATTCCACTTTAGCACGTTTTTCGAAGAGTTCGGCGCTCTCTCCGCGCTCTGGTCAAATTCAAGTTGCAGAGAGAGCACGGCGAGGCTATTTTCCGTCTCGTAAACGGTCGTCTCCATTTGAAACGGTCGATGCCATTTCGCTGAATGGTCAATGCCATATCCGAGCGTCCAAAAACGACTAAAAAGTAATATATACTATACAGGCTTTTCACATGCGCCATGTTGGATTACAGTGAATGACTGTTAAACATGCCAACATGCTGCTACTTAATCAGTTTACCCGCCAACACCTGGTCGCCGGGATTCATATGGTAATTATCATGACGTCAATGAAAAGCCTCTATAAAAAGCAATATTCTAATTGCAAACATAAGGGAGGGTCATGTAGAACTGTAAATATTAGTGGAAAAAAAGCACAAGCTCGGATTCGAACCCGGATCCAAAAGTGTAGCTCCAAAACCCTAAACAATACCCTAACCTCTACGCCACGAAACATCACGGTACCGGTGTGGCGGCACCGTGCTGATACACTAAAAGTTAGCTATCCTGCGATATGACATCGACCCTTTCAAATGGCATCGACCGTTTACGAGATAGAAATTAGCCACGGTAAAAGCGCCACAGAGTGGAATGGGGTGTTAAGAGAACTGTTACGTGTACTTACCAGCAGAGGTAAAGTGATGAGACACCAACAACTGGAGAAACAGGAGAAGGTAGGCCATCTTCATGGCTGTCTTCTCTGGATTTCTCACCCTACCCTTGTGGAAGCTACAACTCACATGGGCGTTGGCCCGCCCTAATACACACCTGGCGTCACACCTGTGGTCACACCTGAGCGTCAGTATAAGGCCGTGTTTAAATGAAGTCACCCAAGGCGGTTTACATGTGGTCTACCCCGAAGCCGGTTTCAAGTGGCTCCATGTGAACGCTCCGAAATCACATTGGAAGCGCCTTGATCCCAAGCCACTTCTAGAGGTGGTTTCGAATCGGTTTTGAGTTGGATCTTTCACAGAATTCCTGTTTATATATGTTGTACGCATACAATCGACTACATTCCCACAACAGCTGTCTACATGCAAAAAAAATCCATCCAAATACTCGAGTTATGACGTTGGCCGACATGCGTACACACACCACAGCTGCTCCACTTGACCCAAACCGAAAACATATCTACCTATCTAGTCATATCTACCATTAGTTTCTGACATATAGACAGACGACTACTACATTGGCTGCGTGCCCCCCCCCCAAAAAAAAAAAAGTCCTATACAGATATTTGTCATATAGAATGTTTTAGGTGTTGTTGTTTAATTACTCCCCCTTGCGGAAAGGAACAACCAAACAACTTGTACCACCGACAGCTGCGTGCCCGACGTTACGCCATATACCTGGAGGCGCAGTATTTTGCAATAGGTCACTTTACCAAACTGTACTTTGACTATAGTACACTAATTGTTCTAAAGTGCCAGTTAATGCAATTTTAGCCACACAGTTGTTGTCTATAAGTCTCTAGACAGGACCCCGGAAGGCTGTAATTACAGTAAGGCCACAGTAAGAAAAAAATTATGGATGACATCTTCCGCAGACTCCAAATCTAATGCGAGAGGGCGAAAAAAAAACAAGAAGGGCCCTGAAAAACAAGATGCATAGTTTAGAAATATACTAAGAGACGACAAATGTTAGGACACAAATTGAATGAGGTGACACAGTGTAACAAGCAAGAAGTCTTTTATTCATCATCAAAACAGCAATAAATCAGGTGGAACAGCAGTTGTCGTCCTGTTCTGTTTCTTTCATCACATTTTCTCAGGCATGCAGAAACAAAGCATGTGCTCTTTACCCATTTTGCGTTACGGGTTTCACGTCAATTTAACGATTTGCGTCACTGTCGTGACTCTTTCGTCATAGCTACAGGAAGCGGAATTTCTTTTTTTTTTCAAGGAACAAGCCAAAATCAATGCGCGCGCGGACGTCATCCATAAAATTTACTTGGTGTGGCCTTACAGTAAATTACGTTAGTAAGTCAAGTGAGACAAGGGTGTTTGTACATGACTTGGGGCATACCAACATCTTTAAATGGAGAAAGAAAAAAAAACACTTGTAGCACAGCTGCTCTCTTAAACCATTTAAATCTTTTCAAAATGGATTAAGGTCTTTCCAATGTATGCCTTTTAAGCGACGTTTGCTAAATGTATTTTCTTCTAGTAAAATTACAAACCCTATCCGTATATACTGTATATACAGTGCATTGAATCGGGTTCAGCCCTTAACACGGTCAAAGGTAAAGGCGGAGATTCGCCTGAATGAGTCCCTTTATGTTCCAAACTAGTTCCAGCCGCCTGACTACAGGATCATGACAGTGTTTGCTGTCACGCAGGTGTCGTCACTTCAGGTTCGGGCTTAACAAGAGACAGAAGACAGCGGGGTTTGACAGTGATTTGCCGAAACAACACAAGGTATATGCCATGATACTTTTTTCATTTATTATTGTTCTCTATTCTGTGTTGGTGGCGTCGGTGGCGCATAGGTTAGAGCGTTAGACTCGGAACCGAGAGGTCCCGGGTTCGATACTCACCGTGGCCCGACGTTGTGCCCTTGGGAAAGGTACTTTACACGACTTCCCCACCTGTACAGTTGAGCTAGTGACGCCCACCGAGCCTCTGGGCTATTCTGTCTAGATATAACTGTGTGCCAAAAACTCACTACGGATTTGGTGCGCCAATGTGAAAACATCTGCACATTGGCTAGCCTGGGTGCCATCCGAATTTGTAACGGCTACCCCGAAAATTTTTTCACTGAGAGCCTTCTTTTTACTTATTCTGTGTTACACTTGACCACTCCTTACCGCATCAGACGTAGGTTTTGATCGTTTAAACCACACTTTTCGTGTGTACCTCTCAGTCGTAGTTTACACGCTGTTTGCCATGTATCCAGTTATGCCCCTGTCACACATTCAAGACCCTCTGTTAGCCTCTTGTGCAGGGTCCGGGCGGGTGGAAATTTTGATACAGCGTTTTGTAGGCGGAATGCAACCTTCTCTGGCGGCTGGTTGTAGTATGGCCGGCTATTAATTAAGAACGTTAACGTCGTTAAAAACTCTAAAAGACACCGTATCAAACTTCCCACCCGAACAGAGCCTGCACATGAGGCTGAGCCTCTCCCGAATTGGGAGCCCGAACACCAGCGATTACCCACAAAAAGTTGAACACCAACCAACCAGGCCGACCCTCCCGAATACCCAAGAATATTTTAAACATTTAAACATTCATCTGACGCAGCCGAACCGTAGCCAATTTCACCGAACGCCAGCCTACCCAGCTGAACGACAGCCGACTCACTTCTTGTTATGGTTGGTCTGAATTTGACCCACGAACACGCGCCGAACACTGCTGACCTCCCGAACACCAGCCGACCACCAACCAGCCATGCCGACCTTCCCGAATACCCAAGAATGTTTAAAAACGTTTTAAAACATTTGGCTGTGACATGGTGCAGCCTAGCCTGGTATCCAATCCAGTCAGATCGTGATTGGCGGTATTGGGGTGTTCAGGCAGGTTGTGTCTTCGGGGACTCTAATAGCTTCCCCCGCCCAGTGCAACAGACCGTCCCGGTAGGAGTGTTACACTAATCACAGACAGTATGCTTGGGGATTTGGTTCCCCCCCAACACGATATTATTAATCTCTCATGAAATACACACCGGGAAACCTATGTGAGGCGGGCGGGCCAGAGCTCTTACGGCCCCGAGCTCTTACGGCCCCGACCACGATCAGACTGGATACCAGGCTAGGCGCTGCCGAACCGTAGCCGAATTCGACAAACACCAGCCTACCCAGCCGAACGACAGCCGGCTCACTTCTTACCATGGTTGGCAGGCATTCGGTCCCTTTTTTAACCTCCTTGGTTAGCGTTATGGAGGTTAGATTCGTGAGTGTGTGATTATGGTGTGTCATAATACCCCTACCACGTTTTCTAGGAACCAAGTCCCTGTACTATGTGCTGTCCATGTTTTTCAAAGCTATCGCATAACTGCAGCCTATACTCCATGGGATTGTGTTTCCCTTCATGTGTTTTAAATGCAAGGCCGGAGATTCGCTTGAATGAGTCTATTTTTGTTTTGAACTAGTTAAGCCGCCTGAGCTGACTACAAGACCGTCACAGTGTGCGGTGATACGCAGGTTTTGTCACTTGGAGTTGGGGCTCAACAAAAGTAAGACCCGGGAGGGGACTGACAGTCCCTTACCAGATCAACACAAGGTATATGTCATTTTATTATATCATTAATATTGTTTTCTATGCTGTGTTACACTTCCAAACGCATTATACGTAGGTTTTGATTGTTTGAACGGGAATAACAATCCTTAGGCAGGGTTTAAAAAATCTGTAATATGTAACCTACTTGTTGATAAAACCATGTTAAGGTGACAATATGTACGAAACTGCACTACAGTAAACTTAGGGATTTACACTAAGACGAAACATGTTTTAATACCTTCTAGGCGATAATTGTCGCACGTTCTGCACGGCCGTGTAATGCTATTTACATTGTATTTTTGCAACTCAGCCTATCCTAACATCCTGCACGTTTACTAGGAAGCACCAAGCATGTATTATGGTTACCGAGTAAACGAGCTTAAAGTGTGATACTCACACAATAGACCTACAGTGGTAACATGGGTACCATCCTGGTTAAGCGACGGTCACAACCCGCCGTACATGCTTTTTCTCCTTATGTTTTTTGGGAGGCTACGTCTGCTACGTTTTTTTTCTGTAAACGTGGGGAAGAAGTGGCGTCTACGCACGTCACTCGCACGACACTCGCACGGTTGCATTAAGTGTAAGAGTGTGGTCTGCCCGCCACGTCTGGCCGTGAGCGGTTGCGTGCATCGTACGTTGCGCAAGTGGTAAGTGAGTTGTACGTGCTTACAACGTACGATCTCCGTGCGATTGCAACTTTACCGTAAGGAGGCCGTACTCACACGTGCTTCTTCTGCACGGCACGTACGGGGCACGCGCGTGGCTCGTACTCGCACGTACGGGTGGTGAATCTGCAGACCGCACGTAGAAAAAGTTTTACATGCACTTAAAGTTCTACGGCATGTCTGCGTGCTCTCAAATCCGTAGGATTCCGTACGGAGGTGGTACTTACCACGCACGGATGCCCTACGTTTGCCCACGTTTTTGCACGTAGACAGCACGCAGAAGCACGTACGGCGGGTTGTGACCGTCGCTTTAGTTTACGTAGTTACGAGCGGACGTAAACTAACCAGGATGGAGCCCAGGCTACTACAGTGGACTGTAACATTAATATTTTGTAAGCTAGGCGAGGAAAAAAAGTTGACTGGATATGAAATGTCGATACTCTAGTCAAGAGGCACTTGTTTATTTGAATTGTATCATTGTATAGTGGGCGGTGCCCTTATTACATCTAACGATTTTTCATGCGTTCCATCGCTAGTTTTCAGAGGTTGGTCACATTTAGATCAGTGGATTTTAAAAACATTCATGTAAAGAACATATTTTTTTTTGCTTTTTTGCACTAAATTACCTATTATTCAAAACCGAGCGCATTTTTAAAAAAAATACCTAAAACTCGATTGTCGGGAAAACTATTACAGTCATTTTAAGCCGTCAATGAGGTATGTTGGACTCTCCATGCCTCCAGGTTTAAACGAGTTTTGCAGACAAGTCATCTTGCCCGAAAGTGGGGAGTGTGATATACATAATAGCGTGAAGAATCATTACAATATTCAACGAATACAACACTAGATTATCTATATGTTTCATGTCCACAACAAATTGCTAAGCGTACATGTAACAGTTACATGTACTGTCCAGGAAACGATTTGCATTTGTGATATTGTGATTTTTTTCTGTAAGGAGGTACTCGTATAAGAAGGTCCTGAATACCCTTGTTTACATTTGAATGACCGCGGGTGACCCCAGATCGAACGTCGTTCGGTTTGAGCTGAGTAAAGCTACGGTCACAACTCGCCGTACGTGCTTCTGCGTGCTGTCTACGTGCAAAAACGTGGGCTGAATTCGCCCAACGCCAGCCTACCCAGCCGAGCGACAGCCGACTCACTTCTTGTTATGGTTGGTCTAAATTTGACCCACGAACACGCGCAGAACACTGTTGACCTACTCCCGAACACCAGCCGACCACCAACCAACAAGGCCGACCCTCCCGAATACCCAAGAATATTTTAAACGTTTAAACATTCGGCTGACGCAGCCGAACCGTAGCCAATTTCACCAAAGGCAAGCCTACCCAGCCGAACGACAGCCGACTCAATTCTTACCATGGTTGGCGGGCATTCGGTTAGCGTTATGGAGTTCAGATTCGTGAGTGTGTGATTATGGTGTGTCCTAATACCCCTACCACGTTTTCTAGGAACCAAGTCTCTGTGCTATCCATGTTTTTCAAAGCTATCGCATAACTACAGCCTATAATCCATGGGATTGTGTTTCCCTTCATGTGTTTTAGATGCAAGGCTGGAGATTCGCTTGAATGAATCTATTTTTGTTTTGAACTAGTTAAGCCGCCTGAGCTGACTATAAGACCGTCACAGTGTGCGGTGATACGCAGGTTTTGTCACTTGGAGTTGGGGCTCAGCAAAAGGAAGACCCGGGAGGGGACTGACAGTCCCTTACCAAATCAACACAAGGTATATGTCATTTTATTATATCATTAATATTGTTTTCTATGCTGTGTTACACTTCCAAACGCATTATACGTAGGTTTTGATTGTTTGAACGGGATTGTTTGAATCCTTTGGCAGGGTTTTAAAAATCTGTAGTACAAAAAATATGTAACCTATAGCTACTTGTTGATAAAACCATGTTAAGGTGACAATATGTAATAAACTGCACTACAGTAAACGTGGGATTTACACTAAGACCAAACATGTTTTAATACATTCTAGGCGATAATTGTCGCACGTTCTGCACGGTGTAATGCTATTTACATTGTATTTTTTCAACTCAGCCTATCCTAACATCCTGCACGTTTACTCGGAAGCACCAAGCATGTATTATGGTTACCGAGTAAACGAGCTTAACGTGTGATACTCACACAATAGACCTACAGTGGTGACATGGGTTCCATCCTGGTTAGTTTACGTAGTTACGAGCGGACGTAAACTAACCAGGATGGGACCCAGGCTACTACAGTGGACTGTAACATTAATATTTTGTAAAGCCTCGGTCACAACCCGCCGTACGTGCTTTTTGTCCGTACGTTTTTTTGGGAGGCCACGTCTGCTACGATTTTGTGAAAACGTGCTTTACGCTCATAGGCTGTACAGGGCACGCGCGTCGACGTACGGGTGGTGAATCCGCAGACCGGATGTTCTACGGCGTGTCTGCGTGCTCCCAAATCCGCAGGATTCCGTACGGGGGTGGTACTTACCACGCACGGATCCCCCACGTTTGCCCACGTTTTTGCACGTAGACAGCACACAGAAGCACGTACGGCGGGTAGTGACCGGGCTTAAGCTAGGCGAGGAAAAAAACTTGACCGGATATGAAATGTCGATACTCTAGTCAAGAGGCACTTGTTTATTTGGATCGCATCATTGTATAGTGGGCGGTGCCCTTACATCTAATGATTTTTCATGCATTCCATAGCTAGTTTTCAGAGGTTGGTCACATTTAGATCAGTGGATTTTAAAAACATTTATGTAAAGAACATATTTTTTTTTTGCTTTTTCGCACTAAATTACCTATTATTCAACATCGAGCGCATTTAAAAAAAAATCCCTATAACTCGATTGTCGGGAAAACTATTACAGTCATTTTAAGCCGTCAATGACGTATCTTGGACTCCCCATGCCTCCAGGTTTAAACGAGTTTTGCAGACATGTCATCTTGCCCGAAAGTGGGGAGTGTGATATACATAATAGCGTGAAGAATCATTACAATATTCAAGGTCACCACGAATACAACACTAGATTCTCTATATGTTTCATGTCCACAATAAATTAATAAGCGTACATGTAACAGTTACATGTACTGTCCAGGAAACGATTGGCATTTTTGACAGTGTGATTTTTTTTTCTGTAAGGAGGTACTCGTATAAGTAGGTCCTGAATACCCTTGTTTACATTTAAATGACCGCGGGTGACCCCAGATCGAACGTCGTTCGGTTTGAGTTGCGTAAGATCGAACACGATTCGGGTTCTAAAGCAGGTGGGGACAACCACCAATTTCACACTTCCCATAATGCCTTGTAACGGTCACGGATATGCAGGGATATGACGTAAGACCATCCCCCCTTCCCCCTTTCTCGATGTAATATTTCCAACAAATTCTATCGACAAACTGGTCAACTATTGTTTTGAATTATTTATCTAGTATAAAGCACATGCTATAATTGCATTTTTGTTAGAATTTATTTAATAGAGAAAATGACGTACCTTCTATCGTTCCACCTTCTACCGAAGACTCTCCTACTCGGTAATGCATGCGACCGTGCGAGTAGGAGAGTCTTCGGTAGAAGGTGGAACGATACAAGGTACGTCATTATCTCTAATTCCAACGAAAATGAAATTATGGCATGTGCTTTATACTAGATAAATAATTCAAAACAATAGTTGACCAGTTTGTCAATAGAATTTGTTGGAAATATTACATCGAGGAAGGGGGAGGGGGGATGGTCTTACGTCATATCCCTACATATCCGTGGCCGTTACAGGGCATTATGGGAAGTGTGAAACTGGTGAATTGGGGCCAGAAAATGACCACCGTGTAACCAACAACGGCAGCCTGCCAAGTGCTTTTTCTGTACGTAGACCTTGCAAAGACCAGATTTTTTTTCATAAACGATGTAACAGCAATTTCAACGAAAACCCAGTGACCTATATCGTCCCTGAATATACGATAGTTGATTATAAAAAAAGTTTAGACAGATTTGAAATTGCGCTGTTAGTATACCCGAAATTTTAAAAATCTATGTTCCAAGGTGACCTGTTTTGATTTTCACTAAAATGAGAGAAACATTGGGAATAACAAAGGAAAAATATTTACCAATAATGTTAAATAAGCCTGATTTGTACATGTAGGTATGGTGATTTTTTTTCTTAAAAAAAAGCGATCTATCCCAAAAATCTTTGCAATAAATGCGAACTTTGTTTTTGCCAAAGCTACCTGACATCTGGATTTAGACACCAAGGGCTTAATTGACAAAAGAAAAGATTTACTGCAAATGCTAAGTAAGCCTGCTTTATACATGTAGGTCTGGTGATATTTAAAAAAAAGCGATAAATCCCAAAAACCCTTGCCTAAAAAACAATAAATGCTAACTTTGTTTTGCCAAAGCTACCTGACATCTGGATTTAGACATCAAGGGCTTAATTGACAAAAGAAAAGATTTACCGCAAATGCTAAATAAGCATGCTTTATACATGTAGGTCTGGTGATATTTTTAAAAAAAAAAGCGATATATCCCAAAAATCCTTACCTAAAAAGCAATAAATGCGAACTTTGTTTTGCCAAAGCTACCTGACACCTGGATTTAGACATCAAGGGCTTACTTGACAAAAGAAAAGATTAACCGCAAATGCTAAATAAGCCTGCTTTTTACATGTAGGTCTGGTGACATCTATCCTAGAATCCATGCCTAAAGCAATAAATGCGAACTTTGGTTCTACCAAAGCTACCTGACACCTGGATGTAGACATCAAGGGCTTACTTGACAAAAGAAAAGATTAACCGAAAATGCTACTCTCCAAGCAGAGGTTTGGGTTTGGAGTTATTTCTTTGGCTTATACTGCTTTATACGTCTGGTGATATTAAAAAAAAACACGATATATCCCAACAATCCTTGCCTAAAGCAATAAATGGAAAACTTTGCTTTTGCCAAGGCTACCTGGCACCTGACACCCAGGTCTCACTTGACAAAGAGCGAGCTTTAACCAAAATGCCAAGGAAGCCTCTTTTATTTGCGTAAACAATATCGCTAGATCTCGATAATCCTTGCCTAAAGCAACAAATGCCAACCAAGCTAAAGCTACCTGACACCTGGAGTTAGACATCAAGGGCTTACTTGACAAAATCGAGACAGGTTGCTTGCTGTCATGATGCCCCTACGACCGTCAGAGTTATGGGATCTACTACTTCTACTACTACTACTACTACTACTACTACTACTACTTCTACTACTGCTACTACTACTACTACTACTACTACTACTACTACTACTGCTGCTACTATCCCGGTAATCCTTGCCTAAACCAATATAAATGCCATCTTTGTTTTACCAGTCTACCTGGCACCTGGAGTTAGACTTTAAGAGCTTAATTGACAAAGGGCAAGCTTTACCCAGGATGCTAAGTAAGCCTCCCTAAACAATATCATCAGATCTCGATAATTCTTTCCTAAAGCAATAAATGCCAAGCTTTGCTTTACTAAAGCTAGACATCAAGGGCTTACTTTACAAAGGGCCATTTTTTTTGCCTGGGGGGAGGGCCATTGAAAAAAAATCGGCCTGGGTGAAGTTTTGTAAAATATGGCGTCGCGTAGTACCGAATTACAAGAAATGCGCCGTAAACCTTTGTCTCGGGCCGTGGTCAAAGTCGGGGTGCGTGCTTTATTGGAGGGTTTCCCCCGACAAATCCGTGGGCGACCCAGAAATATAGCGGAACACCGGCACAGGGAGCTTGGAACTGCGATTCGGTAGTAAGTGGTGACGTCTTGCAAATCGGCTGCAGGCGGCGGTGAAAACAAGCCCGAACATGAAACGTTTCCCGCTACGTTACCATACAATCACGTAGTATACACGGCAGAAATCTATTTTTTAAACATTTTGTTCTGGAAAAAATTCCACATGAAACATTACAATCTTGGAATGCCAAATACTTTCCAAATATGGCCTACTTTATTTATTTATTATTCTCCTGTGCTGGGTGATATGTATTTATTCTTCGGATTGGTCAATGTAAAGTGTGTCTCTTCCTCTGATTGGTCAACAACATCTGTTCATTTAATGATGGGGACGATTTCATTCACCGTTTACCAGTCTGAGTAAAGACATGTTTTTTTGTAATATATTCCTCGAAGAAACAATGGCAGTTCAAACTAATAGTATGAAACAAATAAAGTACACACATTTAAAACAATAAAAAAGGTAAAACAATTATAAGAAAATGAAACACTTATTCTTTTTATTACCATAACCAGCGGACACCATGTGGACACTAGCGGTGTCTGTCGTGATCGCATGCTGTGTGCTCTCCAACTGTGTATCATCCCAAACACGTAAGTGTTGATTTGTTCCAATTGACTTCCCCTGAATCCAATTTCAAAGCTATTTTCTGTGTTCGTGTTTGGTTTGCATTTTGAATAAAAGGACTGTTAGCTCACCTTCCAAAGCTCATTGTAATTTTTAAAAGGCACCTACTATTACAAAAGTAATACAATAAAAAGTATTAAAATTACATTTATCTTTTTTTAAGCTTTAAGAATATGTGTAATGTTTTTATTCATTTTAACCACAAAGTCAAAACCTCTATTCTTGTCAAAATTTGATCCTGTCAAACCTAAAGGACATGCAATTTAGTACGAGAGTAGTTAGAAAATGTACATTTTTGTCTCAGGTACATAAAGATATTCCACCATGAGGCAATATACGACTAACTTAAAATCTTAAAGCGGTTCTACTGTGGGATTGGTTTATATACTTTGTATATATAAACATGTTTAAAATGTGATTTTCTTTTCAGTTTGCCAAAGCCTAACTGCTGACAGTGGGTCCTTCGGCAGCCAAAACTACCCAAACAACTACCCAAACAACCACGACTGTCGATACGAGATCTCTGTATCACCCCCCAAAGTTATAAAGCTTACCTTCACCGATTTTCAAGTTGAGGAAGACTTTGACTACGTGTACGTGTATGACGGAAACACAACTGATTCGACTTACCTGATAGGTAGGAAACCAACTTTTTTTCAGCAAAGTAAGCTGTAAATCTGTGTGTATTTGTGTGTGCCCGTATGTGTGGTGCTTTTGTATGTGTGTGTACGTGTGTGTGTACATGTGTGTATGTGTGTCCGTGTGTGTGTGTCCGTGTGTGTGTGTGGGTGTGTACACGTGTGTGTATATATGTGTGTGTGTGTGTTCATGTGTGTATGTGTCTGTGCATATGTTCACGCTCGTGTGGGTGTGTGTGAATGTGTTTGTTCTTTTTTAGCTTTTCAGCGCGCTAAAGCCAAAAAAGCAGACATCCAGAGCTATTAGTTAATTCTGTGTTGATCACACAGCAATTCTTCTGTCCTTGGTAGGTATAGTGAAGTGGGCAATCTAAGTTCAATGTAATTGTAAGGTAGTATCTATTATAATTTAAAACATAGTTGAAAAAACATGCTTCAAATCAAACTCCGACATTCTGGTATCTGCAAAACCTATAAAGTAGATACAACTCTCATAATTGAACATTTTTGCACACTACAGCTGAGCTGACCGGTGCAAGAATTCCCGGTCCTGTAACTTCTACCGGGAGCTTCATGACTGTTCGACTTGTCACCGATAGCGAAGTAAACCGGAAGGGATTTCAGGCCAGCTATGCAGCGGAAAATAAAAGTAAGTGATTGAACGTACAGCATTTATGTACAATTTGACAATTTGAGTTGACTTTGTACACTTTTTACCCTTGATTTGATTTGATTTTTTAGGCTGATAACACATATGTATGCAGCCAGGACTGCCCAACTAGCCGGAGGCTATTATAAAGGGCTAGCCCTCACAACAATAACATAAACAAGTGTCAGTTACACTCCAGTGCCAGTTACACTTCAGATAAACATACTATTACATAACAGATGTTGCGGTCTAACGTTAACAAGCTATGTCTATGAGATTCGGCCTAGTCGTCATGCGTTTACTACAATTAAATTGTGTACTATATTTACATGTCAGGTTAACATACTATTACATAACAGACATTGTGGCCAAACGTTAACAAGCTATGATATCCGGCCTAGTCGTCGTGCGTTTACTATAATTACATTGTGTACTATATTTACATGTCAGGTTAACATACTATTACATGACAGATGTTGCAGTAAAATCTGGCCTAGACGTCATGTATTTACTATAATTCCTTTTAACCTCCTATACCGATTCTGTTATTTACAACTTTGTATTAAGTTCTTAACTTTCATTTGATGTTTCCAGTCTGACTTTTTGACTCAGTCTTGAACTTATGTTTATATGATTTCTGTACCTAGTATGTTTCACATGGTCATGTTTATGTTCTGGTGTCTTATAAGCCCATATGGGCTGGGCGACAAAAGTTGCAAAACACAGAATAAAAATCCATTCATTCATTCATTTTCATTCATTCATTCATTCATTCATTCATTCTTCTTCATTCTTTCTCCATTTCTTCTTCTGTTCCAAACACTAACCTCTGACCAGGCCAGTGACATGATTTGTTGACGTCTGTCACCATAGTAACTGGTGTTGGGTTACATAATGTTGCAAACTTCATGATCTGCTCTGCTCCTGTCACCATATACTAGTAGTACATGTATGTGAATGTGTTTGAGTAAAAATTAACAGGGCAGACCATGTCCGAAGGTAAACATTATGCATTTGCTTTGCAAATGTTACTTCTCTAGTTCATTCATTCATTCATTCATTCGTTCATTCATTCATTCATTCATTTATTCAGCTTTCTTAAGTGTGGTCTACCCTTTGAATCAAGTCCATAATGATAAAACATGTCTTAAGTTTTACAAACGTACCCAAGTGCCTTACTGTCGCTTTTTGGCCCACTTTTTACTTTACCATAATGCTGGCGTCCTAAATAATCAACGTTTTGTAATGCTAAATGTTCAACAAGGTATGTGTTCATTTTTGTATTTGTAAATTGCCACAATGACCACGAGGAGCTAACATCTACAATATACTTCTCTTTCGTCTTCTTTTTCTAGTTCTTGCTAATTGTGATGTCGGCCAGTACCGGTGTGCTGACGGTGTGACCTGTATAGACGCCTGGAAACGGTGTGACGGAAACAACGACTGTAGAGACGGGAGTGATGAGGATGCAACAAACTGTAGTAAGTACGATGGCGATCCCCACTTATACAATCGCCCTGGGTTCCAATCTCCCCTTTGACATATACATGAAGTTGAACGCAAAGAACGAACTGCGCTCGTACAGACTATTTAAATCTACTTATAATGAAGAACATTATCTTAAAATCCCAAACGGAAGTCAAAGAACCACCATCACCAAACTACGAACCAGCTGTCATAAACTCAGCATCGAAACAGGAAGGCACAACCGCACACCTCTGGAGCAAAGAATCTGCCAATTTTGTAGCTCAAACAAAGTAGAAGATGAAGCCCCTTTTTTTATTGATTGTAGTTTATATAGTAATGAAAGACACGATCTTTAGATGTATTACTAGTACGTTTCCATACTTCCAATACTTGCCTAATATTGAAAAAATTATCTTTCTTATGCGCTTTGATCATCCTGTATTATACAAACCCATATCAAATTATATTTTTAACATCACAAAGAAACGAGAAGAAGCCGAACCTCTGTATTAGAGTAGTTCTAGAGCTGTTTGCAATACAATCATGTATATTACCCATTTCATCTGTTCACCTGTACTTAGCCCGATAGGGCATGAATGTACTATAAAGGTTATTATTATTAATAAAGCCTCAAACCACGATGATGTCTGTTAGGCAAAAAAAAAACAATGAAAAACTGTTCCCTGTTTTGTATCGTCAACTGGCTCTAGCTACTTATTGGTTGCGCCTAAAATAACGACACTTTTTTTTCCTTTATCCAACTCTTGAAGTTTAAAGTATAATGACGGACATGATCGCGCTAAAAATGACAGTAAATGTGATCGGATTTTCCCATCCAGAATCAATTTTTTTTAGCAATGGCTTTATATTTTTATGGCTTTAGTGAAAAAGATTTTCCTTTGCAGCTTGTCAACTTATTCCATCGTCGTTGACGAAGTGCAGGGGCCTTCACTACCAAAGGATGACCCTTCCCAACCCACTCAACTTCGACCACACCACGGTCACCCAAGTTGAGAACTCAGCAGGGTTCAGTGACCTAATGACCCTTACAGAATCAGACTGTCACCCCCGTGTTAGAGACCTCGTCTGTGCTACTATTGTACCGCGCTGCGAGTCCAGGTACATCATTTTTAACCCTTGTCCTGCTGGCAATTTTTACATAACTTTTTCAATAATTTCTTGTCTTAATTAGGCCATAGACCCACGACTTTTTCGCCCTGTGGTGGCATAGTTACTTCCGCATTCGTTGCGTTTCGCTGCGGTGTAATACATTGCACGAGAAATACCCCAAAATCGTACCTATGCAGAGTAAAAAATAGATGGTACTGTATGTGCAAAACAACAATTGTTGTGCTACACAGGACAAGGGTTTTCATGTGTGTCCTAAACCAAGTTCTAATTTTGCTGTTGTTTTCATGTTTGCGTTTTGTTTACTAAAACACACCTAAATGCTTATATACTTTTATAAAAAAACTCAATTCAAACATATGATTGACTAGTCTTGTTTCTTTTAACATGCATTTAACCTGTACCATAGTTGAGTAACAATTTGTTTTTCTTTATTCATCCATACATTTATTTCTTTAATCAAAAATTCATATCACGAATTTCCTAATATGCTATTTGTTTATTATATTGTATTATATTATAATTAATTATTATATTATGATAGATTGAGACGTAAAAATAAAATATCAAGATACAACAATATGGTACAAATTACCATGCAATCACATGTGTCATTTATTTTTTACAATTTCCTTTCTGTTTCAGCCCAAATCTCCGCCAACAGCTTCCATGTCGCTCTTGGTGTGAAGAAGTGAAGTACTCTTGTGAGAACGAGAGCGCCTGGACAGCTTTTCCAAGCTGTGAGATTTTCCCCCACACCAACTGTAACAACATCATGGCTTCACAAACTCCGGAGGGTGGTAAGTTTATTTATTTATTACAACTTTATTACAACAAATGTGTAAATGGATAGGGGTAACAGGAACATACTCCTTTTAAAAACCACCACCAAAATAAACTGATAAGGATTACATAAATAATAATAAAAAAAACAATAACAAAAAAGTCATAACAACCCTTGATACAAGGATGATGACAAAGAATTAACAAATTATATAATGAAAGTTGAAGTAAATAGAACGAAAAGCCAACGATAAATAATAGATCATTCGATAAATAATACATAAGTCTTTCTGTTTCTTCATTTCAGCTTTGCCACAGAATGTGACTGAACAGGGGATATGGGACAAATATTTGGAGCCCGCTTTTTAAGTAATAAAAAAATAACATTTATAAAGGGCAATAACAATAAAGGTGATAATAATAATGATAACAATAATAAAAGAAAGACATTGCAAGAGTCCAAGAACAGAGGGAGTGTTAGGTTGAAAATAATGTTTTCAGGGTTAAATGTATCAATCCATTAGATATACAATGATGTTATTTTTTGCAAACTACAGATGAATGAGCCTCTTGATAAGGTCCAAGTTTTATTTCAGAACCTTAGTTTTTTTTCCATTCTTACCGTTGCAGAGGAGTGTTTCGATGGAAATGGTGCAAACTACAGAGGAGACGAGGCGAGAGGGCCTGTAGCGGGGGTTGACTGTGAACGATGGGACAGTGATCCAATCTACATAGAGCAGTATCCATGGGCAAACCTCGTGGATAACAAATGTCGCAACCCTGACGGTGGGACCAGGCCATGGTGCATCACTCCAGGTGGATTCGAGTACTGTGACATCATTCCTTGCAACGGTAAGTCGTGAAGTTAATTCTGTTTATTTGTTTATTTGAATTTACCACAAGATATACAAGTGGAAGGGAGGACAAAACAGGTGCATTAACACCTTTACAAGTTGTCCTCCCAAACACAACATACAGAATATACAAGCAGATTACATTATTAAATACAAATCAAAATTGCAGTAATGAACAACATTAACATCAAATATTGTACATCAACATCAAGTATAATTACATTAAACATGAAAAAACTGTACACGGTTTTTTTGTTAATGATAATCAAAGAAATATGTGACATGAACAAAATAATGGAGAAAACACGAGCCCTCAAAATTAACTGTTTCAAAACAGTTTAGCTCTAAGAACTCAATGAACATTGAGTTATGCTTTAACTACGCATTGTGGAGAATGCAGACGTGTGCGTCAAATCCTGCTAAGATATACCTCGACGTTTGACGGTCTCAAAAACCGTGGATCATGACTTAACGCCCTGGACTGCGACTTCTTCCAGTTGTGGCCATATCGACAAGGACTGGGTTTCGAACTCGCGACTTTGAGGTTCGGAGGCGTGATCTATAAACGATTGATTACGTACAGCAAGACGGGAAATGGGGAAATACATGCTTAATCAAGAATTGCAGTTTTCTAGAGATAACTTTAAAGTGATATGTTTTACATGTCTCATTTCTCCAGCTAAGGGTTGTGAGGATCCGGGGAAACCAAAGTTTGGAAAGAGGACTCCTGTTCTAAAGTTCTACTTCCCTGGAGATCGAATCACGTACAGCTGTGATGCTGGATACAAGTTCAAGGAATACACCCCGGCAAGGCCGAACAATATTCAGTGCGTTGTGATGAATGAAACAACAGGAGATGCCGACTGGGAAACACCAAAACCAGATTGTGAAGGTAAGGATAAATAATTTTCTTGGGACTACTTCCATACACGGTGGTAAAATCTGGGCTGCAAAGTTCCCACATGCCATAGAACCCGAACTGTGTTCGATCGTGTTCGATCTGGGCAATTCGAATCGAACCCGCGTTCTATTTCGGGGTCACCTGCGGTCATTTACAATAAAGCGGCAAAACAAGCCTTTCTGCCTCCGTGCTTTGCAACAGATAAAAAACAACACTTTTCTATAGATACAAACAGTTTCCTGGACAGTACATGTCCGCTATTATTTTTTGTGGACATGTAACATGTAGCGAAGCTACTGTCGTATCCTTGGGTAGCCTTGAATACTGTAATGATTCTTTACACCAGTATGAATAACACAATGCAGACTTTTGGTCGACATGACATGTCTGCAAAACTCGTTTTAACCTGCAAGCATGGAGAGTCAAACATACCCCATTCACGGCTCAAAATGACCGTTACGGTTGTCCCGAAAATCGTGTTTTAGGGATTTTTGAAAAATGGCCTCAATCTTGAATTATGGGTAATTTAGTGCGAAAAATAAAAAAAAATCATTTTTTCACAAATATGTCGACAAAAACTAGACTTCAAATCAGAAATTAAAAAATCCCTAAAACACGATTTTTGATCTTATTCCTAGTCGTCGAAAAATATAAAAGTCGGGGATCTTGGGTGATAAACGTAGCCAGGTTAAAACGATGTTTGCCTAAGAACATGACATGACTTGTGGTCGGAAACCCGAGAAAAATCGTCTTTCGGAGCGAAATTTTGATAAATCAATGATTTAACATAAACAGCTAATATTAAAAGGATGTTAAGGCAATAATTTCATTTTAATTTGACGAAATTTACCATTAAATCCTTTTTGTTTATTTTCAAGTGTTTTACTGGTAGTCCAAAATAGGCCAAAATAGCGTCTTGTAACCCGATACCTTTTAGAACGCGCCTAGCAATGGGAAAGAATGCCGTAGTGACAGACCGCCGTGATACCTCAGCAACCGTACATCTAGATGGGCTGATATTGTAAACCATATTAAGTAAAACTTATGTAAGAAACATGTAGACGTAGCAGCCATGGAGGCCCCCTTCGGGATTAACCCATTTCAGTAGAATTCTGCAGAATTCTGGCTGCAGTTCCCAGAATTCTGTGCTGCAGAATTCTGTTGAATTGGGTTAAACCCCAAAGGGTCCTCGATGGCTGCTACATACTTCTTACATCATAGTAAGAAGTACATTTTACCTATAGTTTACAATATTAGCCCATCTAGATGTACGGCTGCTGAGATATGGGAATTAGTCCCAAATTAAACTGGAAGTCCCATATTAAACTAGAGCCTGTTACACGTAGTACCTTTCCGTCTGCTTTTACCGCCACATACATTGCAGGAGTTTAATGCGGTGGTTTTTTTTTTCATTAATAATGATGAGTTAGAGATAACATGTAATGTTACGGGGTGTCTTTTTTCGTGCACGCACCCCCCCCACACACACACATACTCTTCTTCTTGTTCGTCCCTCGTGGTCGAGGATGACCAATGCCTTGGTGAACTTCTGGTGCTTCCGGAGATGGCTGATGAGACCAATCCGGGCCAGGAAAACTCGCCCACAGGTTTAGGACCAGTGGGTGGGTGTGTTACGTTACTGGTGTTGGTAGTAGGTGGCCTTACGGGTTGCCATCTTCTCGACATCGTCGTTAAACGCATCTGTTAGCATTGCCAAAAACATCATGCTAAGGAGCGTGGGAGCAAGCACGCAGCCTTGTTTGACTCCTGTTATTACTGTAAAGGGGTCAGACATCTCCCCGTTGTCAAGCACTCCAGCATCCCGTCATGAAACTGTCTCACTATGGTGATGACCTCTGGACAGCCGAATTTCTCCTTAATCTACCAGAGTCCTTTCCTGCTGACGGAGTCGAAAGCCTTTGTTAAATCGACAAATGTCGAGTAAAGGTCATGGTGTTGCTCTTGGCATTTTTCGTGGAGTTGGCCTGCAGCGAAGATCATATCGACTGTTCCACGACCGGCCAGAAAGCCACAGTGGTTCTCTGGGAGTAGGCTTTGCTCTAGATATCGCAACAAGCGGTTGAGTAGGATACGAGCCAGTATCTTGCCAGCAATTGACAGAAGGGAAATTCCTCTATGGTTGTCGCACTGTCGGCGGTCACTTTTCTGCTTGTATAAGTGGACGATGTTTGTGTCTCTGAAGTTGTGGGGTAATAATAACCCCCCTTCTTTCTACATGTTCTCAAAGAGAACACAGTAACACACACACGCGCGCACACACACACACACACACACACACACACACACACACACACACACACACACACACACACACACACACACACACAAAAAGATAATCCTCATAACATGAAAGTTCTGTACTGGGAGCCATCCTATTTGCATACGGGGGCTCCCATACGCACTATTTTCGTGGCTGAGTACGGGAGGCCAGGTATACAACCATTATTGCATCAATGCCATAAAAAGTCTGTCTAATTTAAAACTTTTGACCATTATTTGTGTTACAGTCGACCAGAAATTCAAGCTACAAAAAGACAAATTAAACGAGAACGTGTACAACAAGGCGGCGTCTCCAACAAGAAGTCTGGAAATAAAGGCATACGTTGTCAACGTCATCAACTTGGTAAGGGATGGAGTTTCTTTTTTTTTGCACGCCATACATACAGAAATCTAACAAACATAGCATGCGAAACATCATAAATATTTACAACGATTGTTTGATAAAAATCTTAACATATCATATGTTCTAATAATATAGATTAACTGATAATGTTTGTCAATGTGTCTCTTTAAACGAAAAATCGTAATGACTTTTTAAATTTTATTTCTTTTTTAGAATGAACAGGACGAACAGATTGTTACAGCCTTCAAAGCGGAATACGTAAGTGTATATTCTCCTCTCTAAGCCCCTGTCACACATTCACGGTTTTTTAGCCTCCTGAATGGTAGTCGAACGCCCGCCAACCATGGTAAGGGGAGGGTCGGCTGGCGTTCGGCAAATTTGGCTACGGTTAGGCTGTTTAAAACATGTTTAAAACATCTGTGTTTAAAACAGGCTTCGGGAGGTTCCATCATAGTTCGCCTGTTTTCGACCGTAAGTCAGCAAAACATCTGCCAAACATCCTCACTGTGTAAGTCAGCAGTGTTTGGGGTGTGTTAAGAGATCGAATTTAGCTCCAAATTAACTCAAATTCATTTTGGTTTCTGTACAAAAGGTAGGCGTGGCCTCTGGGCTCCCAAACACCAGCCGACCTGCGCAGGTGATGATCGGGAACGAATTTGTGAGAAGTTTGTAAATGTGTGACAGGGCTTTAACCATCTGCGGCGACATTTTCTTATCATAATAATAAAGAAATGCGAGAAACGCGAATTTCCATTTTGCAATAGAAAATATATTCGAATTAGTAACAGTCAAACAGTGACAGCTAATCTGGTTTTGATATTACGTCCTCCTTATGATACTTCGCTAAGTAAACAAAATATGTGACCTGTTGCGTGTGTACGCTATAGGCATGGATAGACAATCGGCTACAATGGGAACCCAAAGAATATGGACATCTAAATCGTATCTTTGTTCTTGACGATCAAATCTGGAAACCGACATTGACACTGAAAAGAAAGTAAGTATTTTATAATTCTTCCATAATGTAAAACCCAAAATTGTCCTTAATCTCTGAGTAGCAACCGTTTCGGTAGTGTGACAGTAACACATGATTTTGTATGAGAATTTTTTTTTTATTTAACGTTAATTGTGGTATATCTGACGTTTAAAAGGGCCCTGTCCCAGGGTATCATACTGTTACTTTATCTGATGTGGTCTGTCACTGCTAGTTCATGCATGGCACATTATAAAGCTTTATATCCATTCTGTCCTTTCTTGTATGATTTTCTTTCCCTAACTACGTACAAATTTGAATATTTCGTACCCTACTTCGTCCATCCTTTTGAAAATATTTGCATGCAATATCAAATACAAGAAAGTGTTACTATCGTAAAAATCCAGTTATAAACGTATTTTTCTTTGAAAGCTATAAGTCATATTTATTTTCTTTTAGTGCAGACACAGACTACAAAGGTGAATTCCCTAAGACAGAGGTGAAAATGGATCACACCGGTGAAGTGACCTGGCCTGTAGAACTACTGACTACAACAACCTGTACCCTGGACCCTTTCCTCTTCCCTCAGGACAACCTGACTTGTGCAGTGTGCTGGAGTGCTGGAGAGGAATACACAATAGGTTGATCTTTTTTTTCTATTCCTATTATTACAAGACATGGCGACGATGCATTCAAGTTTTTTCAACTAATTTTTATGCCGCCACCAACGCAAACAAACGTACGGACATAAGGCATACTCATTCTCGCACGAGGTAAATGAGTAAGGTGTCTTTCCCAAGAACACAAGAACGGTGGCATGGCAAGATTCGAACTCGGGACCTGTTGGCTTTAAGTCGAACGCCACACGACCCAACCGCAATAGGTTTTTTAGTCTCTCTCTTTCT